TTTTTTTTTTTTTTTTTCCCAAGACTTAAATAAACAAACAAACTACAACAACAACAAAAAGTGTTAAAAGGAGAAAATCACCGACGCCCCGAACCAGTTGGCTCCGAGTGAGGGGCAATGCAGAGCAGCAGTGCGCCGAGCGGCTGAGGGCCAAGCCTGGCGCTCCCCGAGAGGAGCCCGGGAGGTGGGGGGGAGGGAGAGATGCTCACGCAGGAGAAGCTCCGGACGCAGGGTGCTGAGCGCCTGTTTGTCGCATTTTCACATTTAAAACCAGCACCGCCGTGAGACCCAGCGCCCCCAGGAGTGCCCGGGGTTGTGCCGTTCTGTAACCGCCGCTCCCCAGTGCGGGTGTATGCACGCCGCCGCTCGCCCGCACAAATCCCATAAACGCTAATAAAACAGATTCCTCCGGATTTGTTTAACTTTCCCTGGCACCACGCAGCCCTATATTGGTATTCAATGGGGTTACCCGTGTGCATGAGGATTACTGGTTAAGCGTGGACACGGGATCAACCTTCTAGAATGCCACTCGAACATGTCCCTACAAATGAGTAAGGTGGGAGACGTAAGCACTGACAATACGATTAATTTGCACCGAAGACTTGAAAGGGAAAAGGAAGTTAAATCATGGTACTCGAGTTATTAAGCTAGGCAGAACTGAGGCCTCTGGTTGCAGGGGATCGTTTTCAGCTCTTTACTCGGAGCTGTGTTACTGCTATTGTCCAACCTTTGCTGGCCACATGGGACCCCACTTGGAAATCGGTCAGAAAATTATTTCTACTGGACAAGAACTGGAAATATCCAGCTGGGGCAGGGATCCGTTTCCAGGCAGAGAGCGGGGAAGGAAACCCGGTCCTCCTTCTCCTTACACAGACAGTGCTGTTAGAAGTTGTCCAAAGCAACTCAAGCTACTATCCAGAAAGTATCTGCTGCTCACAAATGAAAAAAGATGGGATTCCATCCCCCACCCCCTCCGACCCCCTCTGACCCCCATGGATTAGTAAATTTGTTATTTATTTATTCTGTACAGAATGTAGAAAAGGGTACACGGTGCCTGCATCGCACGGCGCCTGTGCATAACGCACAGTGACAGCATGGGCACAAGGCACTGCTGGAGCTGATGGACCGATCCAAGGGGATGACATTTGGAAAAAATACGCCCAGCTTAAAAGCACGGAATGCTCATGTTTGGGTCAGGCTCTCCATTTCAGTATTCTAAGGAGAACAAAGTTATTTTGCTGAGCCAACTTTCTTTTTTTTCTTTTCCTTTCTTTCTTTCTTTTTTTTTTTTTTTTTTTTTTCCAACTGGAAAATTTGATGATTTTTCTGAAAGTGGTTTCCTAAAGTCAGATAATTGATATTAATTATGAATCCCAAACATCCATGACCGAAGGTTTGTTTTTCCTAATGTAAGCTGCAAACCATATTTCTTTCAGTTAGTTTTGAAGGTGAAAGCCGTCCTTGGGAACAGGAGAGGGAATATATCAATCACAGAAAGGAAGCCTCTAGGTTGAAAAATTAGGAAAAACCTTGTATGAAAAGCACACACAAAGCGGAGTGTTTTTGCTCTGTTTGTCTGAAGTCCTTTGAACATGATGAAAGTCAATGTGAGTATTTCAATGTAATTTTTTTAAAGTTATGCTCAGCGGTTTCGAGTAGTTATCTCAATGGTCCTTGGCTTTTATGAATAGTGTGACTAATCTAGTGGAGATGAGTAATGGATCTACGAGGAATAGAGGAATTCTGATGCAAAAACATCTCTCTTTTCTGTTGGTGTTTTATGCTGCTTGACATTCAATATATTATATAATGGCTGTCAGAAGAACTTTGGTAATGCTTTATGGTAATGTTTATAAATACTTTAGTCGTGATTTAGAAACGATGAATGGAAAATGCTATTTATAGATAATTATGTGATGTTTTACTATGTTGTAAG